TTTCTTTTGACAAGTGGCTCCTGAATTGTGCCCAGCCAGACTGCGGCATTTTCAGTCAACCATCAAAATGTCAAGAAGAGTTTGGTGAGCAAGGAGCTTGATTAAGAAGAAATACCCCCTTGAGTCAGAGATGCCTAATAGACAAGTCATTGAAATAGAAGTCAAAGGTTCAATGCACACATGAGCTTTTCATAACTGTAGGAAAGTCATTTTACACCCCAGGGACTCAGGTTCCTCTTCTGTAATATTGGCACTGCCCCCTTCTCAGACCTCCCAGGACTGAGTGGTGCTTGCTGGGAAGGAGTCAAACCTAACCTTCCCAGAGCTGCTGGAAGAGGAACTGCTGTGGGCACCAAAGGGTGAGCAGGTGTGAGCTGTCAAGCAGAATTGGAGGGAGAAAATAAATAGCTCAAAGGCCTAATTTTCCAAGTCTTTGCTGGGTTAGAACCCAGGCCTCAAGAGAAATCTGGAATAGTTGGTGGCGAGGGCACTCTGCTGCCTTTCTTTCTCTGTAGATGATGTCAGATGTCTCTGTGTTTATTATTTCCTACTCCTGAATACCTGTAGCCTGCCTAAATTATCCATGGTGACCCTTGGGACCATGCAGGCCTTAGTGTAGGGCTGGACTAGATTCATGCCAATTCATTTATTCATCCTCTCAAGAATGATCTGGGAACCTACTATGCGCTGGCATACATTTCCTATTCCTCCAACCTGGTACTACTTTCTTGGAAGGCATGTAGTTTTTTGTTTGTTTGTTTGTTTGTTTTTTGGTCCTGGGGAATTGAACTCAGGGCACTCAACCACTGAGCCACATCCCCAGCCCTATTTTGTATTTTATTAGAGACAGGGTCTCACTGAGTTGCTTAGTGCCTCACCATTGCTGAGACTGACTGAACTTGCAATCCTCCTGCCTCAGCGTCCCAAGCAGTTGGGATTACAGGCATGTAGCCTTTTTCTTGGCTCATTTCTCAGGGCATTAACCAAACCCATTTTCTATTGTTGTCTACTTTGATTGGGGTTCAAGGCTCATAGACAGATGTAGGAGATGATGTCAGTGCAAGGACCTCTCTAAGGTAGAGAATGATAAATGTTTGCTTTCCAGAGAGGCCTGCCCCTGACACTACAAGGAAAGAAGTATTCTTGGTGAACCTCAATGGAAGGTGAGAGGCCACCGCAGAATTACATGAGACTCTCAGGAAGAGCTGTTTTTGGTGAGGATTACCATCGCTTATGTAGCTGGGATGGTTGACTGAATTAGAGGGGAAGTTGGGGGTAAGGTTATGACCATAAGCTGGCTTCCAGGAAGCAACTTGGATCAGGAATTCAGTGACAGAGGGCCTGAGGGTTGGCTGGTGAGTGTGTGTGGCTGAAACCTCTCTGACACAAGTCCATTCATTTGTGTGCTCTGAGGTCTGGGCATTCTTGGGGGCCTCTGAGATGCCAGGCAGTGGTCACCTTTGAATTCTGGTCACCAACACCACCTTGTCCCATAGTTAAATCACCTATTATCTTTCTACATATATCAGACTCCTCAACACAGCCTTTAAACAGCAACACAGGATCATTGAATGAGGAAATAAAAGGATAAGAAGCAGTATATACAAAATGGAGAGTGGAATGTGCAAGTCAGCAAGTGGCTGTTTTTGCATTCGGCTGAGGCCCTGCAGCTTTCCACCAGACACCAAACCCCAGACACCATCAGGGACTGGGGCCATAGGAGCCATACCATGCAGGAGCAATAGGTCATGTTTAAGGTCTCAGGCCAGGGTCTATCCTCTTGAAGAACTATGGTTTGGGGTGATTTTTTCTGGCAACAAAGAAACCTCTTCAATTTAGAATAAAGGGGAAAAACCTGCCTCTGAAAGAGAAAATACTTCTAATTAGATTGAGATACAAAGGTTAAATTTTTGTTCTGGGAAAAAGACTGTTTATAATCCTGTGTCATTAGCAAGACATTTTCCAGAGACCAGTGTGACAGAAATAGACCCTCTGAGGGGTCACTGGAAGGAAGAGGTGCAGAATTCTGAAGTACTAAGGTCTGGAGTTCAGACTGTCCCCTTCTCCTAATGTCAGTGAGCCCCTCACCAATTGTTAGCATGGGGACAGTGCCAGCTTACCCTGGGTACTGAGCCCCCTGTGAGGCTGGGCAGAATGGAAAGCTTTGAACTCAGAGAGGCCTAGGTTCAAACATCAGCCTGCCAAACTTTGCTAGCTGCGTGACCTTGGGTAAGTTAGTTCTAAGCCTCAGTTTCTTTCTGTGTAAGATGAGGATTTTTAAAAATCCCCATCATACAGAGTGTTCATAATGATTAAGGGACATAATCTATGTAAAGTGCTTGGCACAGCGCCTGGCACATGGAAAGTGCTTTGTAAATCAATTATCCTTGCCATCACTGTTGGTTTCACTGTCACTGTTATCATCATCATTGTCATCACATCATTAGCACTGGATTCATCTTCATCATTCTCACTGTCATCATCCTTATTGTCACATTGGCTTCATCTTCTTCCTCATTAGACCCCTGGCCATATTTCCTCTTTGCATGTTGAGTAGCATCAAATACTCCCTTGGCATCTGAATGGGTTCACACATTCATAACCCTGTATGTTTAAGGGTTCACTTGAAAATCAGCTGGTAGGAACTGGGAAGGCAATTGTCATAGAATCAGTGTTACACCTGATGGGAGGTTTCCAGGCTGGCACCCCAAACCCACTTCACCCCCAACATAGCTAAGATACTGAACATTTGTGGTAAAAACAGAAGATAATACTATTGTAACACCAGGAACTAAAGATGGCAGGAAAATGATTAAATAAATACAAAAATCTACTCCTCATTCAGGTTGGGGGAAAAAGGGGGGGGAGCCAGAGCCTTATGTATCTTGCATATGGACTCATGAGCATTTTTAAGGGTTCTGAAGTTACTGCCCTTTGGCTGTTCATAATTTCACTTCAGATCCTTCAGGTTTTTTTTTTCTCCTTTGCACAGGGCCTAAGTATCTCTCCTTTCTTCCTTTCAGTAATGATTAGGATCATTTTCTCATAAAAAAAAAACATGGGGCAGACAAGGAAGAGGGTAAGGATAAAAGGGAGAGAGAAAGCAAAAAGATTTTCTGAGCTAACTAGGTAGAAATGGAAGGAGAGAAAATTTAAAGTTTATAGAGGAAACTGAAGGAAGCTGTGAGGAAAACACGGAATGAGATCTCCAATTGGCCACAAGGGGCGCTGTCAAGCCGTAACAGCTTGGTTGCTGTGCCATGTGGTGGAGGGAGAGGTGAGAAGGGAGTTTCTCAGCACATTGAGGACATGTTGAAAAACAGCACATTGTTCACAAGTACAAGTACTCCTAGTAAATAAGGAAGCTGGTCCAAATTCTGGCAGAATGCACATGCTTTTAAAATCACCAGGCATATTTACTTGGTACTTGGCTGTGCTGTCAGTCCTAGAAAAAAATATTCAAGCTCATATTATTTTGGTGTTTGATTTTCATTTTTGGCTAACACTAACCTCCAGTCTTCCTTGGGCAATCAGAATTGGGTCCCCCCCCAAAAAAATTGGAATTTGCAGAAAAAAAGATGATAAACTCATTCTCAGTGAGGTATACAAATGATAAGGCTCAAGTATTGTTTCCATGATTGGTATAGTAAACAGCATCTAGTCAGCAATAGAGCTATGGACAAAGAAGTAGAAGTCTAAGTGAGGAATTTCAGATGCCAATCATGGGAAAGAAGTTTCTTACTTTCTTGACTTTTCTCCACAGATTCAAGAGTCTACAACTAGGACCAAGTTTGCTGGCTTCATTAAAAGGTACATGCACTAAGAGCAAAGAAAGGATGTGAATGTAAAGCAGTTATTTATTCCTTTATGGACTCAATCAGCAAACACTTAGTGCTCACCCAAAAGAAATTTCCTGAGTAGGTGCTTCCCAGGTGCAGAGATTTCCACAGTATCTAGAGTTGTCTTTATCTCATTTTACTGAATGAGCCACCTCCTGAAACTCTGCTTTCTACCTTATCAGGTTTCCATGCAGAAACTACAGGCTCTCAAAGGACAACATGCTACTGCAGGGTTACAGTCACATGGAAACTCAGTGACCACTGTCAGTGATGATGATCTTGGTAAGGAAGGTGAAGAGAGGAAGCTGGTGATTTTTGGTGAACCCAACTGGCTATAGTTATCTTAGCTTGGGTTCTCCCATGGGATGATCCTAAGGCAAAGAATTAACTGAAAATAGTTTATTTGGGAGAAGGTCCCAGAAAACACCAGAAGGGGAGTAAAGCAGCAAGACAGGAAAGGAAAGAAGCTAATTTATCAAGCAAGTTACCACTGCAGGCAACTGGAGCTCAGTTCCACTGGGGAATTCTGGGAGACTGTGTAGAACACATTCCTCAGGGCTATGTCAACTGAGAGGCCAGGAAGTCAAGGTGTTTAGTCACCAACTTCCATCCATCACTGGTCAGGGGTTGCTTCTGGAGGATACGTTCATTCCTTGGCACTTCCAGATAGCACAGCATGCAGGCCTAGTGTGCTCCTGAGACAAAAACCAAAAAACAAACCTTAAGGGACAGTCACAGGTACATGCAGTAAGTAACCTTTGGTGTACAGAGGTGAGTCTGAGGGGATATGGTGGGGCACCAATAGCATCTGCTACACTAACCATGCCTTGGAAAGTTCCAGTGCATATTATGTGAATATTTAAATGCCATTCATTTAGGCTACCATGACCAGGTGATTCCCCAGTCAGTGTAACCTTCTATGACCCCATGAAGAAGACACTGTTATTTTTAACAATGCCCAAGCCACAGAAGAATCGGCTCATGGGGGGTGTGCCTCAAGATTTCATAAAGAATAAGGCATATAAGGAGGCCAGAGATGACTATCTTTCCAAAAGCAAAGTGTTCAAGAGATGGTCAGCTTGGCTGATATGCTCCTTTGCTAAAATTTAACTGGGGCCCTCCAGAAAGTTCTTTTAATCATATTTGTGCTGGCTGGAATGCAAGATGTTCCTGGGATGAGTCACAGAGGGAGTTTCTTTTCTAGTGATCGTGTATTCCAACTCAGGGACCAAAAAAACAATAAATAAATAAACATGACTTCACTTCATCAGCTGCATACTGCCTAATAAAAATAATAATGACAACCCTGACCCAAGAAGTACGAAGACAATGCAGGAAGAAGGGGGTAGGGAATGCTCATCTTTTAAACAGGAAGACTTCTTTCTGGAATTCAGTTTAGTCAAAAGCACTCCTCTGCCTGGAGGCAAGCTCTCTCAAGAGCAGAACAACATGCTGGGCAGAATCTTAGGGCTGGTGAATCTTTTGAAGTCCTTAAGAAATCACTATATTTATCTTAAAGCAAGTATCATGGTGAGAGTTAATACAGCATAAACAATACAAAGTAGAAGTGGGGAAAGGAAACAGATTGGCTGCCTAACATCTGGCTTCTTGGCAATGAAGATTATAGGTGTTATTTCCTATTTTCTTTAGGGGAAGACTTCCTCTGGAATGCACGTGTTTACACACACACACACACACACACACACACACACTTGGTAGTCAAGTTGGAATAAAGCCACCTGTTTCCCTGTAGTAGTCCAAACAGGATTCTTGTCCATTCCTCCTCTTTCTCGTTTGCCCCTCCTCTGGTATTATCCCTCTGAATTCCAACCATCAGGCTTTTATTGCTGCAGGTGACATGTGAACTAGACCTTGTCACATCTGTAGGATTTCTGAGGAGGAGATGGTGGAATGGAGGAGAATTTTCCAGAAGGATATAAATGGAAGAAAGGCATAAGATGGCAGGTGTGTCCAGAACAGGGTGCCTGGTTGGGCAACTGGAGCCCAGGGCTGGTGAGGGTTGGAGGCGAGACAAGGGTGTGTGGAAACATTAGAAGGGTGCCAGCTCTTCCAAGGGTGTTCAGAGTTGCCCCTTAGCAATTAACCCTGTGTCCTAAAGGACTGCCAACTCAGCCAAAACAACTTTGATGTCTTTACAGGCCCCAATGAGCAGGAGGCCTCAATTCAATAGTGAGACCATTAGGTTGGGGAGAAAAGAAGAAGTAATTTAGTTTTCAGGGCTTTGCTAGCTTCCTCATTCCCCCTTCCCCACTGCTTCTCTCCACACACTCACAAGATGATAATAATAAACCATTTACTGAGCACTGATTTATCATGTGCCAGGCACCCTGCTAGGTATTTTACATTCATTTTCTCATCTCATTTTCTCAGCAACCCCAGCAGATTGGTACCACCTTGGTGTGAGTTGATTTGTTGGACTGTTGCTTTCCTCTCCCTTCTGCCCCCAGGATCTGAGCTGTGAATCCCCAGGAAATGGTTGTTTTCATGGGAGGGAGGGGCAGAGTTTTCTAGAACATGAACATCGTTTAATGTAGGAAAGGTAGGTGTGGGGTAAGAAAGAACAGAAAGTGGGTAGTGTCTCCTGTCTCAAATAAGAACCTACAATTTCTTGGCCTTCTCCTGTGGCTCAGACAGGCCTGCCTAGATTTCTTTTTCTGGCCCAGCCCTGCCTAAGTTCCCTCCTCTTCTATTATCATTGCTACTAGTGAAGACTGGGCTCTGAAATGCACATCCTGAGTCAGGTGTTCCCCTTCTTTTCTGAGCTCATTTCTCACTTCCTGTGTGCTCTGGTTTGGACAAGTGTCCCCCAAAGGCCCCTGTGGAGATGAAGCCTTGGCAGGAGGTCATCAGTCCCTGGGGGGTATGCCCTTGAAGGGGATAATGGTATTGCAGCCCCTGGTCTTCTCTTTCTCACTTGCTGGCCATGAGGAATGGTTTTCCTCCTCTACGCTCTCTGTGCCCTAATGTGCTCCCTTACCACAGTCTCCAGTGCAACAGGACCAACAGCCCATGGACTGAAACCTCCAAACCTGAGAGCTGAATAACCCTTATCTCAAGATAATACTTATCTCGAGTATTTGTAATGGCAATGGGAAGCTGATTAACACACTAGGCTTCTGGACCCAGGCAGGAGCTATTTCCATCCTCCCCAGGATTATTTCATCTGTGGCTGACTGACTGGCCATCTAGCAAATGCATTGCCCCTTCTTCCTGGACTACAGTTCCCAGTCTCCCTTGCAGTTAGTGTGATTATGTTCCCGAGTGCTGCCAACAGAGTGTGAGTAGACACGCACCACTTTGGGTCTGGCCCTTCCTTCCTTCCATATGTGATGCTCCGATTCCTTTCTCTCTCTTTGCTTTAGCTTAATGCATAAGGACCTATTGGAAGCCATCTGATGAAGACAGCAGAGCCACAAGACAGGAGGGTATACACACCTGACGCATGGCTTGGAGGCAGGCCCTCTGCCAGCAGGAACATCCATTTGAAGCTTTATGTGAGTGAGAAATCAACTTCTATTGTGTTTCAGCCTCAGTACACTTTCAATTTGTTAGGAACAGCAGCGCAGAAGGCTTCCTGGGACTCACCCTGTGCACTGCTAGGGACAGCAGACTGTCTCTACCCTTTATTGCTTCCTCCATGTTTGGAGCCCTCCAAACTCACTGGCTGAAAACCAGAGCTGCAGAATCCATCTTAGTGCCCACATCCCAGTTCCAAGCTTCCACATGCTAACTTTCCTGTTGCTACAGCACTGAACACCCTTGCCTGTTCTCCCTGATTTGAATCAATTGATTACTGAGCGTTCAGGACTATTCTTTGCTTGGCAGCTGCATCTATATCCACTGTAAGAGTCCGCTTCCCTGGCATTCATAGAGCTGGGAGAAGCAAGGGAGCTGCCTCCAGGGAGCAGGGAGAGGCAGGGCTGTCAGCAGCCCTGTTCCCCACAATCCTGCAGCTCCTTAGGTGGCCTGCCCCATGTCAGTGGGTGGGGTGGTTAAGGGCGAAGCAGCAGGACCCTGGCACGAAAGAAACACACAGACCTGGGTAGCAGTCATGCTTGGTTTCTTGCCAGAGGAAACTACTAGAACCACAATACCCCCTTTCTCCTGGGACCCTTGGCTAGTTTGCTGGTTTGTAGTACAAGGAGGCTTGGGATTTCTTCCCTTTCCCCCATACCAGACTCTTTACAGGAAAGGTCCAGGTGGATTCTCCTTTGGGAGAATTTACCATCTATGGCTCCAGCCTCTAGGATTGCTTTCCCTTGTTTCCCTGCCTAGTTGATTTTCTAGGCAAAGATTGCCCATTCAAAAGTGTTCTCTCCCTCCACTGACCACGAAGTGCCATCGCTAGTAAGCTTCTGCCTTGTTTTCAACATTATTGCTCTTTGGGGGTTCTTCTCTAAAAATACCAGTTCTTCCAAAGACATATTAGAGAGACTATATTAGTCTTCACCATATTAGAGAGACTAGACTGATTGAAAACATTTTCTATATAATTAGGACTTTCATGTGCAAAGGACCCAACTAAATATCTTCATTATCACCTCAAAACAAAAACAAACAGGGATCACCCCTATTTTATAGGTGGGAGACTTCAGACTCACGTCAAACCCTGCAATAAATATGAAAGAAGACTAGAACTAGCACTCTCTGCCCTCTGAACCGAGACTGAGAAACTTCTCCTTAGGTCTAAGTCCCTGGCTCCAGAGCTTTTTGACAGCTGTGACATCTGGAATTTACCTTAAAAGTCACCAGCACCTCCAGGGAGACTGGCCTCAGTCTGTGACTCAGGTGAAGCCCTAATCTGGTCAGTGGGCAGCCACTTGTCTGATCGAGTGCCAAGATTGCACACCCAGGGTGCAGCAGCTCAAGTTCTAGTCAGGAAGCCCCCACCCCGAGGCTGCTACTGAAGTTGCGGTCACCTCTTCATCTCCCTAATACTTGAGGCAGGGCCAAAGAGCACCTGGAATGTTTGAAATGTTTTCCTTACTGGGGAAACTGGTGGCTTGCTAATTAGCATGATGGTGACTGCAGGAAAAGGATAGAACTGGGATATTCAAGACATATGGTGTGGATTGGCTGAAATATTTGAGAGGTAGTTCCCCAACTTTGTTACAGACAGGGTTGGTGGATCCAGGAAAGCTGGGAGGCAGCACCCAAAAAGGGAGGGTTCCAATGCTTGCCACATAACTGTCCCATGTCTAGCAACCAGTTTTAGAGGATTTCCATTTGCCTATGCCAACTAGAAGGTGACAAAATTCTACCTTGGAAATGTTATCATATCTGCCTTGAGTGCTCACAGCAGCTGAGATGACAGCCTGCAGGGACTCCCTGAATGGCCTTATGAACTGGTCTGTGCCTGTTGGCTACTAACTTGTTACATTATCAGTATCTGTCGGGGGCACCATTTGCCCTGAGACTTGTCTTGAGGCTGTCACAGTGTGATTTTGAGCTCCCCATGCAGGGGCCCCTCCTCTTCTCCCCTCTGACTCTCTAGCCTACCTCCCTAGCCTGCCTCCGTCTCTTTCCCTAGTTCCCTCTCAGGGTTTTGGCCTTGAGCTTGCCTTGCGGCAGCCCAGACAACCCTCAGGGCTGGAAAGACTGTGTTAGGAACAACGATGATGATGATGAGTGGAAACCTCCTGTCCATAAAACTTTTAACACCAGCTTCGCTCCC